GGGGGTTGTCGGCTGCGGGGTTGTAGGCAGGGGTGTTGTCGGCTGGGGGTTGTGGGTTGGGGTGTTGTCGGCTGGGGGTTGTTGTCGGCAGGGGTGTTGTAGGCGGGGTGTTGTAGGCGGGGTGTCGTAGGCGGGGTGTCGTAGGCGGGGGTGGCGGGGGTGTCGTAGGCGGGGGTGTTGTAGGCACGTTTGTAGGGGGGGGCTGCAGAGGGGAGGGAAGGCTGGTCCCCTGGGGAGTGGGAGTCACGGGGAGGGTAGTTGGCGGAGGCCCCTGCAATGTTGGTGGGCGTCCTGCGAAGTGAACTCAAAGAATGCTTTGATGCGCTGTCACTCAGAAGGCATTGCTGGGGGTCAGAACTGGTAGTCTCTTTAGAAGAGAACACACTTGCTCTTAAGCAGACAATGTTTTGCGAATCCAGTCAATGACACAGGAAGGAAAAATGACTGACGCAGCTCAACTAGATTGGAGACTGCTCAATGGACTCAGTGACACTTCAAATTGCTGACACTTAACACAGAGACAAAGATTGACACGCAATCATGAAGGTTCTCTTGACCGCACTTGTAAGTCAGCCTACTTACAACCCATAAGTTGCAAAGCATAAGGACTGGATCTCGCTACCAAGATTGTTTGAGAGCCTAGCCTGTCCCACCATCAGATTGGCAATATTTGAACTGATTACATAATTAGCGCCAGGTTGTGCAAGACAAATTCAACATACTCACCTGTTGGCGGGCCTTGCGCTGAAGCGAGGTTGAGCGTGGCGGCCAGAACATATACTCCTAGCAGCCAGGGCCACACGGAAAGGGGAGCCATTGCGGGTGAGCCTACGAAAGAGGAGCAACTGAGTTGTGAGAACCATGTCCGAACAGTAACAACAACAGGAGTTTGCGACGTGCGTCAGCAACCGGAAAGCAGGTTGATTGGTACAGGCCTTTGTCCTCGAATTGATCTACTTCTGCTCAGGCAACCTTACAATAGGCACTGTACCCTCAATCTTATTAATTGAACCCGAACTTAAACCCGAAGACAGGATTGCATTTGCAAGCCTAGAGACACAACCATTCAGGAGCAATGGCAGTTTCGTAGATGCAAAGATTGTATCGACAGGCTGATTTCGCAGAGTGTAAGCCTAAGACTTGAATTGCAAAAGGCAGACTTCTGTGTCGGTTGGTTCAATCTGCTGCCAGCAGGAAAGCTGACCAAGCCAGAGCTCCCAGTTGTCGCAAGATTGTGAGAGAAAGCGACAACAAACTGCAACCATGAGACGCAATCCGCAAACCTCATCAGTAGAACTCCTGGAAGCATACAAGTACTTATCCTTCTGTTTTCTCAAAAAGACTAAAAATCTGTCTTTGTTCTCAACAAGAGCATAAACGGTAGATTCAACCTCAGCTTGCCTAGCGGCAGTACTTGCGCATTCCTGCGGTACAAAAGCTCATGCACGGGTGTCGCCAGTCAAGTGCAGCTCACCAAAGCAAGCTGGATTCAAAGGGGTGCGCTGATATGCCCCAATTCTTCTTGTGGTGACTGAGGGATCCCCTGAGTGACTGAGGGATCCCTTGGGTGTTAACGGCTCCAATACGCACTGATAGAATCTCGTTACCTGCAGAAACACGCGGAGCAGAGCTCTGATTAAACGCCTCAATCAATGAGGCTTCAATGCCTGCGCACAAATTGGGGCAATTTTGAACAAGCATTTGAGCCCTCAACAAGCTAATTTTGAAGGCGATGGTAATCAAGCAACTGACCAACAAAGATTGCACTTCAATCCAACACCGTAGATCACTCCACTTAATAAGTTTGGTACTAGAGTGATGCTGGGTGCAATGCTGCATGAGCCACTGAAGGGCCAATAAGGAAACGTATGAAAATGATTAAGACACAAAAGTCACGTCTGGTATTGGCGCCTGGCATGTTAGGGCTCCAGCCTTGTTAAACCTGAAAGTTGTACTTTCTGAACCCGCATACATCTCTTTTCTTTTGAGATTCACTTGGTGAGGGTTCCAAGGGGTAGAACCGCAAGATTGACTCCGCACCAAGATGAAGGAGACAACAAGAGATGCAATTCAGGATTCTGAGCCCGCCTTGATTCTCAGACGGCACTCATGCACACAGCATCCCATAACAGCGCTGAGGAAACAATGTCAAAGATCAGGCCATGATTGGAAACAACTTGTAACCTGAAACCACACCGACAAGGCTCGACTAGGCAGAGTTTAACTTACACCTTCCAAGACGATGATAGCTACAGACAATCTTCAGAGCCCTGGGATTTGCACTACCTTTGCGGATGAGAAATCCTTGCCTCAAGCTCGGCATGCGCCAGAAGTGGCTGCCTGCTTGCTTCTCCCGGCCTCCTTTGGTAGATGCTGAGAATTCCGGATTGATCTGTTCCCCAATAACCTGCTCATTTCCAGCTACCACCCAGCTCAGCGGTTATCCTTTCAGTGCGCAAGCAAAGCCGCCTTCCACCGGCGATGCTGACCAAGAAAATGTGGTGATCCCAAAGCAATAGAGCTGGCTAGCACGTTTCTCTCTAAGGAGTTTTCTTGACGAAAGAAGTACGATGCGCCCCCTGATTTACTACTCTTCTCACAAGGATGCTGAGTCCTGACTGACACCCATCATCTGCGGCAGTCGACTGATCAGGTGAACGCGAGCTGGTATACGCGAGCTGCATTCTTCAAGTTGTTACGCGTCACGGTTTCTGCCACCGGCGAGTGACGTCCGATCCCGGCTGCAGGCAGTGACGACAAAAGAATCGCTAGACGTACAGAGATCAGCTTACTACAAACAACCTGCTCATTTAATTAGCACTGGGTACTAGCTGCGAATCAATCCAAGATCGTGAGCCGAAGAGAAAACCGGAGCCGGCCGGCCGCCAACGATGTACCGCACGTGTACGAGCCGACCGCTCGGCGATCGGGTTGCTTTCGGAATCTTTCCATACCGGTATTTCTCTCGCCTTTTCCCTGATGTCGACATTGATGTCAACACTGAACCGACGCTCTCGGCACAAAACCGGCAAGACCGTGACGACAGCTGGACCTTAGTTTTTGGTTTCGAGCGACGGTATAGCAGAGGTTGCGGTGCCGCCGTCGCCAAAAAAACATGGGTGTGGTTTCCAATTCGCCGACTCGTACGGTCATACGTCAGCAAAAACACCGCAGTGCAATTCCAATTCGGTGCATAATTCGTCACCACGCTCCACAGCGTGGTGAAGAAGTAAACTTTTGCTAGCAGCTATGTACGATTTGACCGTCGCACGGGACCACTTTTGCCTTCAGAAGGTAACCCCCGGAGTAGCGCAGTAAATTTGAGCAAAACAACACCTTCGGTTCTCGGCGAATTGACCAAAACCACACCCGCTTCTTTGCCGCTGTGTAGGTAGTGTGTACCTAAAAGACCCCCAGAATCCAAACGCCGTGACTCATGAACCAAGATCACAATTATAATAGCAGAGCCTGGTCGAAACTCAACATTGCACCCTGAGGCGCCACTTGGCAAAAGCACACAAGCCGCAGGGCAGGGCTGCGGGCGGGACGCACAACGGGGGGCAGAGCGCCGCCGAGCGGAAGCCCCCGAGCGCAGCAGCGTCTCCGGCCCTTTGGCTCTACCATTCCGTTTCATCCGTATTATCGTAATATGAAGGGTAAGGAATCAGGACCATAACGGTATTGAAAAAAGACGGGTCAGGTTAGCTTGGGGGTTAGGGTTGATAACTTGATACGGGTGCGGAGCCTGTAGACTTTGGGTTTAGATTTCTCGTTAAGTGTTGATGTTAGTAGTTACCCTTCATAGGGGCTATTATATCCTTCAAATAGAATCGAGGGTTTAATACGGACCTACCGGAAGAGAGTCTGGAACACTTGCCACTACCGGGGCAATTGCGCCCCTGAGAAATGTCCCTGCGCCCCCGGATAGATCCCCGAGCCGCAGAAGGTGCCTGGGGCAAAGTTTGCACCCCAGCCGCAAATGCCGCATGCGCAGGGCCCTGTCGGAACCTAGCTGAGCACATGCTGACGCGTAGTAGGTACGGTTACCGGTAAATGGGTACGATACACCGACTTTTCAAGGTGCGGTCCCAGTCACAGCCAAGAGAGAAAGCCTACATGTGAAGGGGAAGAAAGGGGAAAAAGAAGAGAAAAGAGTAGTAATAAAATTTAAGAAGGTTCAATAAGACCATGCATCGAGCAGCAAAAAAGTAGCCCCAGCGAGCCGTTCATATTCATACTGGAGCTTTTGAGCCGTCAGGTCACGCAATATTAAATTGACGATCGACTGACGTTGCATCAAAGACAAATGGCCGACTTCAACCCGTTCCTACATAAGCGACACGCGGCAAAAGCAAAGCCGTTGGTTTCATGTCATGTCCCTATCTGAGTGGGACTGACAAGGATTCCGAACACAGAGTGGCGGCGGACTCGCTGTATCTGCAATGCAGGCACCATACGCACGCTATCCCCCTAAGTCAAACGGGCCGCTCTTAAATCGTTGTGCGCACAGGCTCACGTTCTCTTGGTCCATGAACGAGACGCTGTGACTGCGCTCCTCGCCAGTCGGGGGGACGTTGTCGCATTGCTCAGCTAGTCCAAGCATTTGAGGGCCTGCGGTGAACGAATGCGCGAGCGTCAGAATTGCATCCGGTCAATATTTTTGAATTTCAGCCGGCCAAAGGAGCTGTGGACACGGACGTTAGCTTGTTCCACTGGTTGAAGAGGTGAGAGAGAGAATCGTGTGTTCTACATGTTCTGACGTATGCATGTATAGTCACTTTGAATGTACTCTATGGGCTTCGGGCCTAGCCTGCAGAACGATTCAGCCGAACACACTTGAGACGAGCTTGCAATCGAAGGCAGTCAGAACTGCGGCACCAAATCCGCTGACGTCATCCAGGCTTTCTGTAGGCCCTGGAGCAGAACTTTGTTCGGGTCCAACAGATTTACCCTCAGTATCATACCAAAGTCACAGAATAAGCACATTAAGCGCGCCTGATCGAAAGGCAACGCTTCGATTGGAAGGGCCAATTCCCACGTGCTTGCCTTGCGAACCGCTTCTTAAGTGAGGCGACGGGAATAGCAGGAGTCAGACGGGGTTAGGTCTTGCCGGTCCCCCTCCTCCTACTGCCTCGAAGTTTTCCTTTATCGAACCTTCAACATGAACAACGATAACCCGCAGAGTTACATGAAACAGACATGACATGCAAATGAGCTCGCACCCACAGCCGTAGACGGGCCTGTTACTCGATCTTTCCCAAGAACCTTGATGCCCAGTCTCTTCCACGAAAGCTCAGCGGACAAAGAGGACAGACTTTCGGACGTCATCTCATGTCCGCAACCAGGAAACTCGGATCCCTAGTCGTTTCAAAATCAAATCGAGCAGACCGTAAGAGCATTTGGTTACGGGACTCGTCACCTTGGTCCGCGTCTCCTTGGCGCGGTCCGTCCAACGGAGCGTTTCCTGGGTCTCCGCTCGGCTGCTGGTGCGTGGGGCTGATGTTCGCCATCATGGCGGTCTGACGCGCCGCCGGCCAACCAGTCCTGGAAAGACCGCCTCTTTTTATACCAATAACCCTAATTGTTACATGGAACGCCATTCGTCACTGTAAACACAGATTCTCTATGGGCACTGTCCACCAAGATTATATAAAATCAAAAATCTCCAGATCGACTGAAGAATGCAATTACGGAGGCACTGTCATGGTCTGCCCTCTAAATGTTCTTGATGGACACCAGCAGCAGTGTCAAAAACGATCAGAAATTGGACTGGACCTGTCGGCAATATTCTTGGTTTTGAAACGCATTGAACAATTCCTGGGTCTTGAAGAATCAAGGTTTGGCAGAAGCCGCAGATCCAACGGACCGGGAGAAGTGAATGCTCAACCGGCTGAGATAATAGCGCAAGGGACAATCCCAAAACTGTTCGTTGATGCACGCTGTCCAAACTATAGAATAGGAGATCTCACACCTCCCATTGAGGACAGGGCCCGGGCAGGGGCGTTTTAATGACTATGAAGGCTTGGCACTGAAACATAGCGGACTTTGAATCCCAAACAGTCCAGATAACTAGCACCGGCCAAGCAAGCCATCGAACTTCAGCCCAAAGGATAAAAAAGGATGAAGGTTTTGATCTGACGGGAACCTTCCGCCCAGAATGTTCCGCCAAACCGTTCCGGCCTCACCTTGAGCAGCTGACGATGAGCTTGCAGGTGCTGTAAGGCATGCGGCCCTTCTTGTCGACCAGCGCACTGTTGCAGCTGCGGAGCGCGAACAGGCTTTTGTTGACGTTCGCACCCTTGAGGATGCGGGACCGTGCACGCGTATGCCGTCAGCGCGCGCTCGGGTCCCGTCAGGTCCCGTCAGGTCCCGTCAGCGACAGCTTTGCCGCAGCGCCGCGCGCGGCCGCCGGTCGCCGAGTTGGCTGCTGTGGTTCTGACAACATCGAAGAAGGGACAGGTGTCAGAATCCGGGTGCAGGGGTGAGGATTGCTGGGTGCGGCTGTTACGCAGCGGCAGGTCGCGACTTTGTGCGTGGTGCATTTGACGACGACGGGCTTCGAGTGAAGGAAGGAGTTGCTAGCTGCGGGAAGCGATATTGTATGAATCTGACCAAAGATGTCGCAAAGCACATGAATCTGCACATTTCAAAACCAGTACGAGGATACGTCTCAGGCTCTTAGTGAAAAAACTGTGCCATACTTCTGTCGATCCATCGTCTCACTCTTTATAGACACTTCGAAGTCCAGACGCGACTTCACGTTGACGTCTAGTGATCTGAATTTCCTTGACTCGGCGCACATTTCTCCCCCATAGCTGAGATGACCGTCGGCTTTCACCACCTTTAGACGGAGTGGAGCCGCCTCACAAGCTGGGGCTGTGCAATGACGTTAAACGCAAAATCAGGAGACCTTTGAAATCACTGCGAATAAAACGATTTTTTCACGTGATCACTGTCCTGACGCCCAGATCGTTGAAAGCCACTGCCAACGACCACGAAAACGAGAACAAGGGATGCTATTTTTCCGCCCGGGGATGTAAAAGCCACCTGTCGGTTAGGTAAGCCCAGAAACCCAGCTGATCTTGTCTCTGCTTCCGTTAGCGGATCTTGTTTCCGCCCGCGAATTGGAGAGCCATGAGCGGGAAAAGGGTTTGTGGGTGGCACGCACCTGAATTCCGCCGCACATGTATTGCGCAGCGGGCACGACCGGGATGCCGTCCCGGGTGATGTCGATGCCGTACTTGAGGCACTCCTTAGCGATGTTGGGAAACTGCGCCAAGAGATCTGAATGATTAAAGAGAAAGATAGTTCCCACTTCGTGGCCCAATTTGCGGCGAACGGGCTTGAATCGTACCCGAAACGGAAGCGGTTTGCAAACCTTTGATTGGAGAAGACGGGACAGAAAACCAGCACATCACGATCTCTTCTTGATAAACAGAGCGTGACAGCATGACCGACTTCCCAAGTAAAGTGGGACATATCCACTGATAGAGACAGCTTTTGAATGTGGCACTTGCAGCCTTTGATCGTGGCAGTAACAAAAAAAGAAAAACAATGGCAGTACTCAAGAAGAGAAGCGCATGAACTGGGATACTAGCCAGAAAAAGATCAGCAACGCAACCGGAACTTTTACTTTGACAGAGGCAGGCTCTTCTTGTAGTAGAGAAGCAGGAAAATTGAAGGCAGACGACCAGCTGACATCACTATCGAGCAGGGCGCTGTCGGCTGACCTCACCGCACGGCTTGTGACTGAAGGCCAAAAGGACGTACTTCTCGCCGCGCTGCTTCAGCTGGTAATTATTGCTGCAGGCAGAGCAACGGGATGTGAGCACGGCGGCCAACACTGGGACAACGCGAACCATGCCTTTCACCGACAACACTGTCTCAGCTTTGATTGGTATTTTGATATCCACAGAATCATCATAGTCAACAACGGACTATCAGCGAAGCAACATCCTCGAGAGCCAATCTTGGTTCTCTTCAACCCCCTCTTCAAACCCTCTCAAGATTGGTGTGTGTACCGTTCTCTCACCTTCGGGCCCGACGTCCCGTGGCGCTAGCTCTTCCCTCGGAACGGTTTTCGGCATGAACCTTTCGCCAGCCTGTAAAGCTAACAAGCCGAGTTGGTCAGCGGAGTCCTGATGCGAGTTGACAAGGGCGTAAGCCCGCAGCTATTTAGCAGCTGGTACTCTCCAAAACGGGCGTCACAGCCTCTGCAAATTTCGGTCAAGTGCGCTGCCGGTTTCGAAAACCGGCGAGCATTACCGTGCCCAGCATAGCCCTCAGCCGGAAGAACATCCTCGAATACTGCCCGCGATAGCTTCACTCAGCTTCGAGGCAGTGAGATGCATCAGAATGGAACGAGGCAGATTATCCAAATATTGTTCACCGCTCAAACGTCAGATGCAAGACAAATTGTTCAAACTAAGGGAGCCCCACTAAGCGCCACGTGCCACTTGTACGAGAGAAAGAAGCACGAAGGCGGCGGAAACGCGCAGAATGACCCAAAATCTGCACAGTCGACCGCGAAAGGACACGTGGCACTCACGTATTCGGGGTGGTCTGTAGTGACGTGCAGGCCACGCCTCTCCCGCCTGACCAGAGCGCTCTGCACAGTTGGCTTGGCGACGTCGCAGGTTGCGCATATTGCCCACCTCCACGCTCTGCAAATAACCGGTGGTTAAGATGAGCTACGCTAGCCACGTGATTCAAGGGGCCCATCTGTTGAGGCTTCTTGAAGTTTAACGCACGTCCAGCACATGTCGAGCGAGCACGGCAAAAGTAAGATCTTGTTAGGCCAATATGATCGAGTAGCAACCATGCAGAATCCACAGACTGCGCTCAACAAGATCTCCGAGGAAGCGAGATACCGATGGCGCGCGTCGAACTCCATTCAATGACTGCCGACATGGGCTGGTTCCGTCGAAAGGGAGCGCACCATGTCGATTCCACATAACCACAATAAGGTGGCAACTTGGCTCCAACCGTATCATTCAGTCCAAGGCTCCCGAACTGGCTTGGCAAAACGCTGTGCGCTTAGAGTCGGTTTGCAAATTTCTCACCACAGTGCCCGCAGTCCAGCCCCGCTCTTCTAGGAGCGACTCCCACGCCGTTCTCACATTTCGCAGCTCGTTTGAGGGCCTTGAACAGCCGGTCTGTCGAGCGCACGATGCCGACCTGGAATAATAAGACCAATGACTTAATCAACACGCTTGCGTTTGAGACTATGCAAAAAATCGGGGGCCTTTTGTCTCGACGTTGAAGGTGCTTGACTAGCCACTTTAGGCTTGCCCAAAAAGTAGACACATGCATCCCCGCTCCGTTCCTCGCAAGGGACGAAAGGCAAAGGCCCCCGTAAAACAGCGGGGAAAGAGCACTGTTCGAAATTGGGCGAGGGCCGCTGGGAAGAGAAGAGCAAAGCAAGGACCTAGCACCGAGAGCGAGGGCTGAAAGAAGCGTATTCCGCATTGCTCACGTAATCGAACATCATTTCCTGCGGCTGCTTGCGTTGTCGCCGCGTGTCCTCCAGCACCACGTCCATTTCGGACGTCCGCCTTGGGCTGCGCGTATGCGGGCGCTCCCATTGTCCGGCCATAGTTTTGAATCGACGGGCGTGTCGGAGTCACGTGGCTCCAAACCACGTGCCTGCTTCTCGTGGCCGATCGACGGGGACCGCGTACTCCGCGAACACTAGCGCCTGCGACCACAAGAGGATACATGACGTCAGCATCTGCCGAGTTGCCTTTGACGATTAAGAGAGTATTGGTGTGTAAACGGGATCGACTAGCGTTTGGAGCAGAAACGCCAACGTGGGCGGTGCAGAAAGTGATCTATCTCAACCAGGACTCAACCTTTCGAAGAGCGACTTGGGCTCGTTGATCAGCAGCTTGAAAACAAAAACGCTCAGCCCTCTTTTTAGAATCTTGATAATCTGAATCAAACTTCAAAATTGGTTGAAATCTGGTAATGAAGGCGAGCAAGTCGCCCCCCGGGCCACGCGGCTAACCTCCAGAAAGCGAGTCACCTGGCGAGTCGGTTGGCGCTGTGCACTCCCGCGTGCGTCACCTCGCCGCACGCCCGTAAACACCGGATGGACGTCTCCCTGCCTGCAGACACAAAGCGAGGGTTTGTTTGAACGCGCTATATTGCATTTTCATGCGCTCTCTAGCATACTCCCCGGTTGAGCAGCCGCTTGCAGAGATTGGCCCTGTCGCTGTTGCGTCTGGCACCCCAGCTATACCTGCACCTTACATCGTATGTTTAAGTTTTGCTGGGTTTGAAAAATCGAACTCTGCTCATGGAGCTAGGCCGCTTGAACCATCACATGGAAAGAGCCTTCAATGGGGAAAGGCTGGTGACGATGTAATGAAGGGAGTTTGTGTTTGGTTCAGGTTGGACTGCCGCTGACAAACGCCCTGTTTTAACCGCGATTGAGGTTTGTTCAGTTCCATCCCACTAGTTTAAAGGATGTGGCCCTCCAACGGGCCTGAAAAGGGAGAACCATGGCGCACAGCGCAGGGGGCGTCATCGCAAAAATGGAGTGAGAGTAGCGAGTTTTTTCAGGTCATTTGTTTTCACCCCACCTGCTCGCAGTCCCGCAGCACAAGCGGCCGCCCCGGCGCCAGCAGATCTTTGGCAGTCTCGTTGGGTACAACCACGTGAGACGGCTCCTGGCTTGCCAACGTCCGCTGCTCGAACAGCTCAAATAGATCCTGTAAACGGCACCCGAGAAGCAGGTGTCTCCGAAATGCATTTAGCTTTAATGGTCAAGAAGAGGGGCAGCGCCTGCGAAATACTATGGGAATGATGCACTAAGAAGGGCACAGGTTGTTCAGAATGCAGCTGTGCTTGAATCTGCTACAAGCAGCTGAGGGACAAGTCTAGCACGCAGGGTGATAATAGTGGGGCCGTGATTGGCGATATTGGGCCCTTTCCGAGTGGTCAGGGTCGATGTGCCATACAGTGTCCTAGCATGGCCTGGTTACAAATGACGTGAGCATCAGCTTCCCGCGGACAAGTCAGACAGTCATTCACTTAGCAAAAGGGATCCTGACCCCATTTGGCCAGAATGGATGAACGCTCAGCCAACCTTGCAAAACCAGTTGGCTGTAAGTTCAGGACATGAAAATCTGACGTCAAGGGGACGACCTTTTCTGGACAGTCAATCTGGACGATGGTTGATTTGGGTCCTCAATGGCTTATCAGGAATCCATGTTCTCCTGCCAATCTCACCATCTGAATGCTGATCCATCGAAAGGCTTTCTCGAAAGTATCTCAATATTGATGAAGGCACAGTGATGTCAGCAGCTTACATGGGCAGGGACTATGCCGCCTGGATCCCGCTCGCTCCCCAGCATCGTGTGCGTCTTTCTCAAAAGACCGTATACGCTGCATTGCGCCCCTCCAAATCCCCCTCGTCGAGGGTAGCAGCACTGTAGGAGATCAGCAGGAACCACTTCAAGTACAGTGTAAGGGCCGGACTTCAAAAGCATGACTACAGAGCAACGACAGGTTCATGAAACACCAATTGTTCCCGGTTGTGACTTCTGGCTTTGCCAACTTGATGCATCAAACATATTCTCCTGACAGAGCCCCCGTGCCAGGCCCAGGTTGCAAATTCCATTGTGACTTTCTCTAGTCTGATGGACTTGTGATGCAAAGGAAAATCTGCATTGATGCACTAAGAATGCCTGAACAATTTCCTATGAGACGCGATGGTTTTTTCCCTGCAGGCTTGTACACATCAGAATACAACCCTTGTAGAAGATAGTGAATTATATGGTAAAGTGGTGGTGATTATCTACATCAAAGTCGCATTTGGTTCAAGTTCTAATTGCATTATACAAGTTGGATAAATATTCTCATTCGTGTGAATTTAACAAGCTGCTTAGCGTCAAGGAACACAGAAGATACGTATGTCTCTTTGCAAGCTCTTCTGAAAAGGCACAAGGTTCCGTAAGCTGTTGTGCGTTCACCTGCACCATGCAGACCAGATTGACTTTGCAGCCCCCTGTCTTCTACCTTCCGTTCTAAGCAATCACTTTGATTCTAGACCAGCATGCATTTGCATGAAGGCATGGTGGATCAGCGCCTTTTGGATCTACAGCTGGATACTTAGTACTCTCTCTCATGGAAAGCAGGCTTTGCAATGCTGCATGATTCCCTACCATCCTTTGGCACCCTTGAGTCAATCTTGGCTTCTGCCCTCCAGAACGAGCGACCACTATAGATGAGCAGGACATACAATCGCGCTTGCCTGCGCATTGCTCCTTCTTCCCCCTTTCCTCCACGTTTGGTCAGCTCTGCAAAAGAAGTGGATCTTGTATGTGGGAAGCTTTGAACTCCTGGCGAGATGATTTGCTCTGAACTTTGAAGCCTCAGCCGAAGCCATTGGCATTGTGCGAGTTCCCGCCAACCCAAACGGCATCCGTGAAACCCGCAGGGTTGAGCAGAGGAGCGTTTCTTGCTGCGACCTGAATCCTTGGCTCTGACGCCGCTACTCGCTCTCGATATGGCATGTAATGATGTAACCCTATGGTTAGAGTTAGTCACTGACCAGGTCTCGACTCTTGACTTAGTATACCGTACCCCGTAGTCCAAGGTAATGAATCCGAATAAATAAATAACTATTTGCATTCGGAAAGTCAGAAATTCGGATTTCTCATTCGGAAACTTGGGAATTCGGAAAGGTTAAATAATTCTAAGATGGTCCTCGGAAGCCCCAAAACGGCAAAAATAAGCCTTAAAATCTCCAACTGACTGGGAACATAGGGCATTCGGAATG